TGTTGGGTTAAGCTCGTGCAACCAAGCCCCCTGGTGACGACCGTGCGGCCGTCTCGCCATGGCGAGCTCGTGCCACGAAGCCTCCGGGTCATGACATTACGTCCAAGAGGCTTGGTTGTACGGGCAAGAAAGCTTAATCTATTCATTGATCACGGAAAAACTAAAATTAGGATTATTAGTCGGGAAAAGCTCCCCTAAACTGAATTACAACTTGCCTTTTATAGGCGTATACAAATCGTAACCGCTATCGATAATAATGACTAATTAATTACAACATTAATACGGAATTAAACAGCGCATTAATTGCTTGACCGTTACTTTTCCTGGCTGGCAGGTCGGCCGGACTGGCAGGCTCCCCGTTGGGGACCTGGATCCACGGGTCCAAGTTCGGGGTTTGGGCCGATTAGGCTCTAGGCCTTGTCCCATAACTCCATCATGAGTCCCCCACTCCCTTAGTCGAGTAGTAGACTCGGCTAAAAGGGAGTAGTCCAAGTCAGTTGTCGTTCTTCGAGACGGGAAGATCTCTGTCCTTGTTCATGTTGGGGAGATGCCTCATTAAAAACCTTCATTAGGAAAAAACCCAATGGGAAAAAATCCCAATGAAGGGAAAAAGAGTACACCTGATGCCCCCAAGATGAAGCAAAGGGTGAAATCTTCAGCCTTTATTATTGCAATGGTCGCCATCAGTGAAGAGGATGGCTAGAACCGTTCTTCTCATCGGGCTCGGACTCATCGGGCTCGTCTTCGATCAGTCGTACCTACACATAAAAGCAACAAGTGTAGAATAGAGTATCTGACCTGGTGCTGAATCACGACTCAGTGAGTAAGTGAGTCAGACTCACCACTCGAAAAGAGTGACATCAAGTTCCCAAGTTAGGCCTCAATCCCGTCTCCGAAAGGAAGATTGAACCCGCGAGTAAGTGACTCGGAGTCACCATTTGAACGGATAATCCAACCCCACAGAACTAAAGTATATCAACCTTTTCGGGAAATGTGAATGTCAATTAAGTGAAAAAATTGCTCAGAAGAGCGTGGATCTAGGCCCCTAACAAGAGTTTAACTCGCCGCCCGAGGTTAGTAGTTCGAACCCGCAAGTAAAAACTTTTGAACGGGTGACACGTCCCCCGAGGTCGGAGTGTGATGCACTAGGAAGGGGTAAGAGCACGCATGAACTCGTATGAAATCAAGAGTGTGTGGTATTAACATTTATATTGGAGCTTATTAATCGCCACACCCATATGACATGATCCGGTGGCGCGAGTGTGTGTGCTCGGCCGTTGTACGAGTGTGTGTGCTCGCCCGGTGTACGTGAGTGATCGGATTTCATAAGTCCGTTTTTCAATGTTAAAATTACACACATTTGAAAAGAGTAAAAGCAATTATACCACTTAATCTTTCTTTTCAAGTCGACTTTTTTTTTAATTAAATACTTAATATTTAATCATATACGGAGTAGAAGAGATTCCAAGAGTGCTTATCTTTCAAAATAGGAAAAATTGAAAACAATAATCCCAACTATTGCTGGTCCGCTGAAAATAATCCCAACTATTGATTATTTTTGTATAATCCCAACTATATAGACTATCCGCCAATAATGGTCCATGACCATATATTACCTTTATAAAAAGTGAATTTTAAATAGAAATTAAGCGTAAAAATTAAAAGTTGAGATTATTTATAGGGATTACTTGTTATATCTCATCTCATCCACTTTAGAAACTACAAGAATTTATTCATAGGGACCATTATTGGAGGAAGGTCCCTAAAGTTGGGATTATTCTGTAATAATCAATAGTTGGGATTATTATGAGCGGACCGCCAATAGTTGGGATTATTACTATCAATTTTTCCTTCAAAATAAGGGCTCGGCCAGGTTGAGCTTTAGGAAGTCAGATTTGGACTCTCTATGCCAATTTTGACCTGATCAAAATTCCCTAGTAATCTTGTCCAGAGCCTCTAAGAACCCTTCCTTCTCCCTCCGTCACTATCTCAGTTTGCTGTACTATTGTTGCTAGAGAGAGCCTTCCGCTTTGTTTGCTGCTTTTGACCTTTCAGATATGGCAGCTGCTGGGTTGGCCCTCGGTCAGTATAGCGATATGAGAGGGGAGAGGTGCCTTGGGTTCCGCTGCTGCCCTTTGTCATCGGGGAAAATCGTCGGTCTCTTGGACTAGGAGACAGACAGGTGGGAACTAAAATTTGGTTTCAATTTCTGTTTTGCGGCGAGTCTTCTGCTTTGACTTCCTCTGCCGTGGCTGGCGGCCGGCGCGCAGAATGATGGCGTGAGAGAGCAAGGCAGTGGCTAGCTGATTAGACCCCCACCCTGGTACATTGGTGAAGAACGGAGGCAGCTGAGGATCAGGGAGAAGTGGCGAGTTGCGGCCCTCCAGCATCGGGCGAGACTGTGAGCGGCTGTGGCGGAAGTTTGCAGATCTCCAGCGCCAGGCAAGACTTTGAGCTTGGGTGGCAGCAATTGGCATACCTCTAGCGCCGGTTGGGGGTACTAATAGATGCTCCGACTGGCGGCGGTCCGGACAGCGACCACACAACTGGCTCAGATCTCCAAAATTCCAGATTTCTTTTTCTTCCGAATTTTGGGATTGACCTTTCCTCCTTTTTTTTTTTGCAATCCAGATCTGAAATTCTGAAATCCCGAAATTGTGATCCGTTTTTGGATTTCCCGAACTGTGTTGATGTACGGAGTATTTCTTTTGTGTTCGTGATGAATTTGTGTATTTCTCGGGAGGATCTAACTTGATTATTGATCTAGCTCTCAATGAAAGCACCAATGTTGGAATATAATTCCAGCAAGAAAGCTTAATCTATTCATTGATCACGGAAAAACTAAAATTAGGATTATTAGTCGGGAAAAGCTCCCCTAAACTGAATTACAACTTGCCTTTTATAGGCGTATACAAATCGTAACCGCTATCGATAATAATGACTAATTAATTACAACATTAATACGGAATTAAACAGCGCATTAATTGCTTGACCGTTACTTTTCCTGGCTGGCAGGTCGGCCGGACTGGCAGGCTCCCCGTTGGGGACCTGGATCCACGGGTCCAAGTTCGGGGCTTGGGCCGATTAGGCTCTAGGCCTTGTCCCATAACTCCATCAGTAAGTATTAGATAGTCGACTGCCAGAACAATGCTTTTCTGCTTTCTGGAAATGCTAAGGCAAGTCTATTGTGAACAAGCTGTACCTTGGAAATCTTATGATGACTATTATTTAGTCACATTACGATAGGGTAATAATATATTATGTGTTCTTGTATGTGTGGATGATCTTCTTATTGCAGAAAAAATTCAACCTTAATCTCAAATTTTGAACTCTACCAATCACAAAAGTTCCCTATCAATGATCTGGGCATGGTGAAATATTTTTTGGGACTAGAAATTGCTTGTAACATTTACGGTATCTTATTATATGAATGTTAATATGTACTTGACGTTCTTGCGTAAACATGACGAACAAGATCTCAACCGGTTGAATTTCTAGGGGTACAAAATCACCCTCTCCAAGTGGTTTGTGGACCACTCTTCTCATATCCCAATCACTATTGACATCTTGTTGGAAAACTAATTTATCTCACACTCGGTCAGAAATTAATTGTTCTATTCATATTTTGTCCCAATTTATGCTGGCGCCTCACGTGGCGCTTTGAGAGGTGGTAGTTCGGTTACTTCATTATCTAAAAGAGCATCTTGGTCAAGGCATTCTTCTACAGAAGTGGTTCAAACCTTATGCTCTCTAGTTACTATGGTTCTCATTGGGTCAGTTGTCCTTTGACCCGACATTCTAGTACAGGGTATTACGTATCAGTAGGTGGCTGCCCCGTTTATTGAAGCACCAAGAAACAAGTTATATTTTTTCCATCTTCAGGACTAGCGGAATTCGATTCATGGCTACTCTTACTTATGTGCTTCTTTGGTTCAAAGTGTACTCTTCTCCTTAGAAATATTGCACTCTCATCTCGATTTCTCTTTATTGTGACAACCAAACAACTTTTCAAATTGCCTCTAATATAATCCCTTTTCATGAACGGGCAAAACACATCGAAATTGATTTCCAATTTCTCCGTGATAATGTACAAAGACAAGTAGCTAACATTTTCACCAAGGCACTCAGAACTGCTAAATTTTCTCTGCTCCCCAAGATAAGTGTTCTAGACCCACACGCTCCATCTTTAGGGGATGCAGACAATTATTTTGCCATTAATAATTAAATTTCTCTCCTTCATTTTTGGCACAGTTAATATGTTAGAATATCATCCAAGTTTGCTGTTTTCCTTTTTGGTTCTAGACTTTATTGTCATTGGTTCAACAATTTTGTAGGAGCGCATTTAGGCAAGTTTATTTGTTTCCTAGTCAAAGATTGTGTACGTGTATACATACAGTCAAAGGCAGATTATAGAGCACATAAATAACAATATAATTAAGAATACACATATACTTCCATTTCTTTAAAGTGATTTTTATTAAGATTCTATGCTTTCGTCCTCTAATATTAACATGATGTGAGGAGGATCAATGTCGTTAGTGTTAATCCGTATCTTTATATTTGGCTAGTATGAGATGGATGGTTGAACACCAAATTAAGTAAGATTGTGGAGATTTAGATGAGCTCAAATTGAACTTGAAATTTGATTGGGAATGCTCACAGGCTTAGTAGGATTATCAGCTCACATGTATGAGCTCTACTAAATATCATATGAGTTGAAAATCTATATTGAAAGTTGAACATAAGGGAGAGTATATATCTCGCTCAATGCTTCGCTAGGGTTTGAGTTTATGTGTATGCTTGAGTAGAACTAATGTGCATGGCCTCGAACCATGGGTGTATATCTTTGTATGTAGGGTATATCAAAAAACATATAGACATGTGCAAGAGGAATATGTGAGAACAGAAAAAACTACTTGTGTAAAAAAAAGAGTTGAGCTAGCTAGCAGATATATAAAGTAATTTATTTAATTGAAAAGGAAAGGCTGTAAAAGACTGACCAAGCAGGCGTTCGGCGTTTTTTCTTTGACGTGATAGTCTCTCCAGCGTACAAGTCTGAGTTAAGAGTGTATTTGTAAGTGGGAGCAAACAATATTTTTCCTTCTTTCCAACCCCTGAACACTCTTCCCGCCTTTCTCTCCATATTTAACTGCACTCTCATATCATTGAAATGATTAATGTGTGTAGTGAGTGTAGTTTATTAATTTATCAAGATTTAATATACACACACACACACACACACACATATATATATATATTAAACCCCAATTAATATCCTACTTAGGTACGTTAAAAGACCGACTAATATAATAAAATATTGTACATATATATAACCTGATCTTTTTCCAATAGAAAGTCCCAATCATTGTCCTCTAACATCGACCTTGTCTCCTCATAGCTAAGAGAAATTCGGTAGTTCAAGTCTCCCATCCATATTATACGGCTGCAATATATATATATATATATATATATATATATATATATATATATATATATATATATATATATATCATCGAAAATAAACTTATTTTTATTTTAGTGTTATGGGCCTAATTAATATGCATCTAAGTTGTTGTTGGGAAGGGCCCAAGTGGTAGAAAGTGTAGAATAAATAAATTTTAAAACTTCTTTAAAAGGTGAGGTCTCTAGAATTCTCCTATTATTAGTTTTATTCATTAATTGTCAAATAAAGATAGTTTCCTACTAGCATAAATAGAGACCTCCTACCACAACTTTGTATCAAGCAAAGCAAGCAAATTTGAGTTGTTCGAATAAAAGAGTCCTTCCCCCTTTTCAATCATCTCTTCTGTATTACTCCGTATTTTTAATCTAGTCTCCCAATTTCTCAAACCTTCCTTTAATTATTTCCAACAGTGGTATTAGAGCCCATTTGGTCATCACCAAAAAATGGCCAGCCCCGTTCAATTAAGTTCCTTCAGTAATAAAGGAGCATTCGCATTAAGGCGATATTTGATACAAAAGATGTGTGGGATATGGTAGAGGAAGGCTTCATGGAACCCAAGTTCCTTCACTAGAAATCATCAAAAGCAATTATCAGCTGAAAAACCTTCTTCTCCATCAGAACAAATTGGACCCTTCAGCAATTATCAGATGATGTACAATGCCAATCAGAATGTCACACTTCAAGGAAAGGGTTGAACCATCATCAACAACATCACACAAAGATTGTTAGGATCATATTGTACTGAAGATAGATTTTGATGATGTCTACAACAGTGAGATATTTCAAACAAACAAAGAATCCTAGCACATCTATTTCTCCATGCAAGATCTTGAATGTTGAACAACCTTGAACAAGGAGTGTTTATGCCAGAAAGCTTAAAGGTATTCCTCCTCAACAAATTGAAAATCAATTGGTATCATCATTTGGTATCAATTAAAGGTTATTTAAGTCAGGGGGAACTACACTAAAGTTCAAGGCAAACTTCACTACATTCATCTTGCTTTATGAGAAGATTATCACAGGTTGAGGGGGAACTTCTTACCTCAACAAAAACTCAAAAAGTGGACTCTGATTAAACAGGAGCATCCTACTATTTTGTAGAGTCTTATTTTTATTAGGAGCTCCTTGCTCCCATGCAGCGTCCTAGTAAAAATAGGAGCTACCTACTAACTAGTAGTGTCCAAATTTAGGAGCACCCTGTTAAATAACTACTTCTTGCTAAAAACAGTGTCCTAAGAATGTCCATTCTGAGTAACAAGTCAAAAGGACTCAATCATCAAAAACACAGGGGGATTGTTCAAACAATGCTTCAAGTGGATACAAACATAATGAAAAGAAAGCATAAGCAAACTCTCAATCAAAGGGCTTAACTATGCCTAAAGGATTTCTTGAGCTACAAAGAACTGTTTGCTAAAATGCTACATAATCTTTAAAGAGTTTCTAGGCCTCATTACAACTAATCAACTCCAATTGACGAAGTCCAGAAAATAGATGACTTGACTAGCTCTGAGGATCAGGCGGGAGTTCGTATTTTCTATTATGCGGATCTTTTCGGGATTCCCCATTTGCGTTATTAGAGTTGGTTTCATGTATCTAGTGGGTCAGGCCTAGCCCCCTCAGTAGTTTTTCTTCTTTTCTCTTTCCGTTCTATTTTTTGGCATGTATTTTGAGAAGGAATGCCTTCTCTAGAGAGGTTTTAGTATAATCCCCCTCTCATTTTGTATTCATTCTCTTTATCATTAATAAAATCTTGTAAATGTAAAAAAAAACAGAAAGAGCCTGTTCAAATGGAAAGATTAGTTGTATCAAGGAATCATGCTACAATCTGGAAACCAGGGAAAGGTATGTCTATCAAAGAGATCGGCGAGCGAAGGTATTTTCTAAATTTTAACCATGTTTTGGATATGAACCGTGTGATTGAGGATGCTCCTTGGCTTTTTGAGCGTCATTTAATTCTGTTGAAAGTGGTTCAGCCAGATGATATACCTGAATCGATGAATTTATTTGAGGCTAGCTTTTGGGTACAAGTTCATAATGCCCCTATAAAATATAGAAATTTGAGATCTTCCAGGAAAATTGGTAATTTTTTAGGATCTTTCATTAAGTTTGAGATGAGCCAGTTTGATGGAAAGCAGAGTTCTTACCTTCGCATTAGGGTGTGTCTGGATGTGCGCCAACCTTTGAAGAAAGGTACCACTTTGACACAAGATGGGGTGAAACATTGGGTTGATTTTAAATACGAAAAGCTCCCTAGCTTTTGTTTTATTTGCGGTATAATCGGACATTCTGATAAATTCTGTCCAATGAAGTATGAAGAGGGCTTTGTAGCTGAAAAAACCTATGGGGTGGGACTTAGAGCAGGAGGAAGGGCGAAGACTAGCCCGACAGGAGACAATAAATGGTTATCTGATGGAGCCTCTAGCTCATATGGGTATGGAGTGTAGCGGAAGGCTGATCTCGGGGGAGAGTTTTCGACAGAGTCCAAGTTTAGCAGGCCAGCACAGAACGAGAAGGAGGACAAGGATGAGACTCTTGGAGATACAAAACACAGAAGGATATGGGATAATCAGTCCAAAGAGGATATCACTGGTGAAGGAATGGCTCTGGAGGGGTCAAAAAATGGGGAGGCGGCGGGTCAAGGCTCTTAGACTCGCCGTGTTTTTATATGCTGGTGGTGGTGAAGAAATCCAGTGATGGTGTTATTTTTATTGTCTGTTTTGTTTACTTTTATTTCGGATGCTATGTTCTGTTTTCTTTGTGTGTTCTGGTTTCTTGTAAGACTCTTGCATTAGGTTTGGGGGAGGGAAAGTCTGTTTTAACCATCATTGGCTTTAAGTTGCCCAATTTTGGTCTAGCGAGTTATACTACTTTATTACAGGTGGTTAACTCTCAGTCTCGGCCACGGGCGGATGGTTATAAGTGGCTCTTCTCTAGTTCTGTACCCTTGCTGAATGCTATTTCTATGAATTAATCCCTCTTCGAGCAAAAAAAAAAGGAATCATGCTACAAGTCACCAGAAATTCTAGGAAGAAGCAAAGAAGGAGCAAGCTGATTTCTCAGCCAAATCAAATTCTGCAAAAAAATCAGCTGCCTGCCGAAAACACCAACGAGCCAGCTCCCAGTTTTATTCAAGTGTGGAACATCTCAAATGTTTCAAATAACATGAAAATATTCAAGATTGAGCTATCTGAATTACAAGAATATCTTTGGATATCAAATTCATCAAGATTTACAGATAATGATCAAACATTATAGATCAAAGTTGATCTAAGAAATTTCCTGAAAAAAATAAATGGGGGAGTACTTGTCCGAATTCAGCCATGCAAAAGGAATTTATCTTGATTACATCAAATGATTGCTGACATTCAATGATGGTGTTACATTTATGAGTCTGAAAAGAAGATTGTCTTTGATCAAATCAAAGAAGTAAGGCAAAAGGAATTTATTACAACATGCAGCATGCAAGATCGACACATGGTGATCATTGATCAAGCAGCTGACTCAAAGGATTTCTAAGCAACCTTATAAATAAGACCCGTGAGTTTATATAACAATTTTTCTCTCACTCTCTTATCGTCGTTGCTAATCATGAAAAGAGAACCAGCCGCAAAATCATTAATGCAAAGTATAAGCGCTTTGATTACTTCCCAACAAGTAATTGAAACTTGAACAATTGCATCCCAATATAAATATCCCTCTTGCCTAACATATCTCACGACTCATCACATAGTTATCTTCCTCAAAACTTCATTAAGAATCACAATCCTCTTCATTGATCTTTCATTGGCTCCTCCACAGCCTACTTACAAGAAAAGATCATCCCTGACTCAAGGACAAGAAGATTTCATGATTGATCTTGAGTCATGGATGCTTTTTAGAGCAGAAAAAGAATCTCTAGATAAAGAGCTACAAAGAGTTCAAGAATGGAAGGCCTGAAGACTAGCACCACTCAACCTTCTTCTCTTCGCTGCACCAATTGTTAAAGAAGAAGAAAGCTTTGCACTCAGCTGTGTTGGTCCCGGTTATCGAGGTAACAGTCTAGAGGGGGGGTGAATAGACTGTTATGGTTTTTAACTTTTTCAAGCTAAGTACCAAGGTTAACAGAATAGCCCGTTCTGTTGAGAACAGACTGGCAGCGGAGGTCTTCTGGTAGAGGGTTCTGTCGGGATAGCCTCACAGAGATGCAAAGGCACTAGGCCTTCTGTTAACTCTCAAGAGGTGTTCTGCTGAACACAGATACCACTTATGTGGAGTTAAGCAGTTAAGGAATAATTAAAAGGCAGAAAGTAAATGACACCAGGGATTGTTATAGTGGTTTAAGGAACAACTCGTTCCTCTAATCCACTGTTCCACTAAGCTTCTAATAAACCAATTACAACACTTAAGTCCTAGCACTTAAGAAGCTCTCCACGTCTTCTTCAAGTGTAGATGTCTTCTGGGATGCCCTTCCTTGCTTCCTTTAAGACTGGTCTTGTTTCACTGAGTCTCCTTGAAGTATCACCACTTCACTACTCCAGCTACTTTAAGACACCCTTCTTTGCAGAAGATGTTCTGTAGAAAAACAGAGTTTTTCTCCAACTTGCTTCGTCACAAAAGGTTTGTAAATGAAGTATTTGAAGTTGTTGAAGAACTGGAGGAACTCGCTCTTGTTGGAGTAGAAGGATATATGAGATTATGATCTTTCCAACGTAAGCTTTTTCTTGTTGATGAAGATGGAGTTTGAATCTCAAGAAAGCTTTTTGAAGATGTAGAGTGAGCAAAAGTTATCCGGTTGTTCTTCATCATGTATCTTTTATACTAGGGTTGTCTTCCCGTTGGAGGAGGAGACAACTGCATTGAATGCACGTACTGTTGAGTTGACTGGTTGGGCCCGCAAGTTTGGCGGCTTGCTATTTTGAAATATGCTTTCCACGAATCTCGGTCGATCATCAGCTTTAACTCTTTTAGAGTGTAGAGCTCATTCAATGAGCATTAAATGC